AAGTTAAATTTTATGCCCACAATTTCTCATTTGACTCTTATCCACATTCCCATTCAAGAAGAATGGAGCAGAACGGACTCCTTTTCTTGTTTTTGGCCAAAGATCAATAAAATTGAAAAGCAACGGACCTGAGTATCAAAAAATTGCCAGTGACTGCTGTGTTTTGAGGATTTTACTTAATAAAGTATATATGCAAGATAAAGAATTTCCCAACAAAATGTCAAAGCATTACCAGAATTCTAGAAGTATATCCATTTGAAACATACAACTTTAATAGCCTTACCAGTTTTAAAATTATAATTAGGGTCAGGTTATAATTTTCCCTTTTAAAAGATATAGATGATACTTTGTACATAAAATAAGAATATGCTCCTGGTTATCTTAAAAGAATAATTGTACTTAATTTATATGTCACCATGATTGTAAAGATATGGAAAATATACTTGTATATATTAATTCCTTTCCCCAACTGAGTATAATTTAAAAGTTCAGTTAAAAAAAATAAAAAAGAAACAGCAAATTCTATGTATCTGTTGCTACTTGTCATTTAGTAACATTGATTTTGTTTTGTTGCCTGTTTGTGTTCTTTGACACAAAGAGCTCAGTACTGTATTAGGATGTCACTCTCTGACCTATAAAATGTGATGCCCCAGGAGAACCGTTACACCATCATTCATGGTCAGCAAAAAGTCTAACAAAATAGTGATAAATGCTGTGCTTTACAGCCTTAATCATACCATACAAATGATTTATAATGCAAGTTGTATCAAGAATATGAGCTGGCACAGTAGGCATTACATACTCTTTGGAAGCTCAAATAAGTTCAAACATGTCTTATCTTCATTTCAGGTCTAGTAGCATAAAAGGTGGATTTTCTAAGTAGGATTTCCACAAGTTAGAAAAGTGTGACATTGTAGCTCTATCAATAAGTCTGTGATCAGCTGTTCATTATCTGGGCTTTATAGACTTTTCCTTTCTGTTTAAACTGGGAAAGAGCCTTAATTGCTCCAAGAGCCCCAATAGCTACTTCAGGTCGCAATATCACAGCTTTGGCATAAATTCCACCAGTTGATCCAATGTTAGAAAGAGTAAACGTCCCTCCAGTGAGGTCTGCAGTGCTGAACTGACTCGAAGAACCCTGTTTGTGGAGGTGGTTCATTTCCATGGTGATCTCAAACACAGAACAGATCATTTGGGACATTTGGGACAATCAACCCCAGCTTGGTATCCATTGCTATCCCAGTGTTGTGAGAAGACTTGTATGTGATATTCTGGCATTTTCATCCACAGAGCTTTAAGGATAGAAAACTAATAATCCCAAAGAAGCAACCTTTAAGAAGACTGGCATAAAGGAGAACTTGATTCCACGAGCCAAAGGTTTTAATTCTTCTCAGAGCTTAACCAGTTCAGTAAAGTCAACTTCATCACAATAGCCAAAGTGAGGGATCTTCAGGGCTGCAGACATGGTCTTGACCATTGCTTTTTGAAAGCCTGTTATAGGCTGTTTTGTCTTTGCCTGTGAATACTGGAGACTTTGATATTGGTATGGGGACAGTCCTATCTGCTGGCTCTGGTGGAGGTGATAGAATTTCAGCTTTTGGTGAAGGAGGCAATATGGCTCCAGTATTATTTTCTCTTGCCAGGTAATGAACTGCAGGAGTTGCTAATGTTTTCTGGCCCTTTATCTCTTAGTGTGTGTGTGTTCTTCATGGGACATGGCAGGTGTTTCAATATCTTCTTACGTTCTTCTTCTGTTTCTGTGTCTGTTGATGACTTCCCCAAATAAGCAATGTAGTCTAGGTTGTAATAGAGCTTCTTAATGACTCCGTCGTATCCACTGGTGATGGTAACTGAAGTTTTATCGCTTTGAACTTCGCAGATGCTGTCAAACTGAGACACTGTGTCTCCTTCTTCAGCATATCATTCTTTAATAGTTACTTCTCCAATATCTGAGAGTTTGAATTGAACAATTTGTCCCCACAGAGCAGGAGTTGTTTTCAGTGAGTAATGTGGCTCTCTGAACTTAAGTGAAGGATAACCCAAGAAACACACACATTTTAGCTTTAAAAGATGTACATTACTACATGTTTAAAAATAGCAAACACAAACCTAGTATGCATAAGGCCCTGAATTCAATACCCACGACAGCTGGTGTTCTGGCTCCACGTCCCCAGCACACATGCTGCAGCCATCTTATTCTCTTTTATGATTTTGCTGAAAATATTTTCTGTGGGGCTGGAGAAATGGCTTAGTGGTTAAGAGCATTGACTGCTCTTTCAGAAGACCCAGGTTTGATTCTCAGCACCCACATGGTGGCTAACAACTGTCTGTAACTCCAGTTGCAGGGGATTTGACACCATCTTTTGACCTCCTTGGGCACTGCACTACACAGGTGTACCTATATACATGCAGGCAGGACACTCATTCACATAAAATAAGTAATAAAATAAATTTAAAAAATATTTTCTGTGCCATTGATCTGGGTTTCTTACCCTTCTATACCTGTAATTTGTAGATTTATGGGTTTTATTTATTTATTTACTTATTTTTTTATTATATGTGTATGAGTGTTTTGTGTGCATGTTTATATAAGTGCATCTTGTGCATGTAGTGCCCATGGAGATCAGAATAGGATATGGGATTCTTTTGGAACTGAAGTTACTGAATCCAGGCCCTCTACAAGAGCAGTCAGTGCTCTTAACTGCTGACCCATCTCTCTAGCCCCTAGATTTTTTTGTTTTTATTATTATTTTTTTATAGTATCCCAAAATTCCTGCATATTCTGTTCCTGGATTTTCGTAGATTTAATATTTTCTTTGACTGGGTGATCTGAATCCCCTACTTTGTCTTCAAGACTTGATATTCTCTCTTACATTGATTCAGTCTATTGGTAAGGCGTTTCACTGAGTTTTTTATTTCACTGATTGAGTTTCTCACTTCAAACTTTAGTTCGGCTTTTCAGAAATTCTATTTCTTTGTTAAGTCCTATTTTCATGTATCTTCAATTGTTTTATTTCATTCAGCTGTTTTCTGTTTTCTCAGTCTTCATTCCAGAATTTATACATGTCTTCTGAGTTCATTGAACATATTTATAGTTGCTGTTTTGAAATCATTATCTTTTGTTTCAAGTCAGTTTTTCTTTTCAGGGCATGTTGCAGTAGGTATACAGATTTCTGGAGGAGATGCATTGTTTTGGTTATTCATATTGTTTATGTTGACATAGGCACCTGGAGTTAGGTCCTTGGTGGTGTTTCCTGGTATTGATACCTGGTCTCACTGTTGTTGAATAGGAGTTTGGAATTTTGTTTGCTGTTACCTCAGTGTGTAAGAATGGGGACCAACTGAATGGTGTTTAATGTTCAATCTTGTAATTCTGTGTTGACACTTGAATACGGTGTTAGATGTGTTCCCCCCTACATAAGTGAACTTCTGAGCCCAGGAGCAAACCTTTTGTGGGGTTAGTGTAGTCTGGTCTCACTGTTAATCTTCAGAAATCTGGGTCTCTGGGCCACATGAAGTGACTGGCAGTTTTAGTTTTTTGAGACAAGGTTTTGCTATCTATCCTATGCTGACTTAGAACTTGATCCTTCTGCCTAAGCCACCCAAGTGCTATTATTACAGGTAAGCACCACCACACTTGGCTTTCATGTCCTTTTTTAAAAATTTTATTTATTATTTTTTTAAATTTTATGTGTACGTGTGTATTGCTTGCATGTAGGTAAGTATACCCATGTTGTGCAATGCCCGTGGAGGTCAGAAGAGGCCGTAACTGGGATTACGGACAGTTGTTAGCTGCAATGTGGGTGCTGGGATTCAAACCCGGGTCTTCTGCTAAGCATCTCTCTAGCCCTTCATGTCCTTTTTAAAAGACAGTTAAGAAGAGGCTTGCTTTAAGTGGCTTTTAAAGAAAGCTAGAAACATTTCATAATATCTAGAGATACGTTTTAGTAGTTGGTATGGGTGCAGGTGTTGATGGTGGAGTTCCTAGCATCTACTGGGAAGAGGCTGGATGTTCCTAACCATCTGTAAGATGCCAATACAATGAAGATAAAGAAACATGGATTTAGGAGATAATAGGAAGTTGGATACAAGGTGGATAATTAAGAGTAGTTGAAATGAACTGAACTACAAACAGTAAGACAGAGAAATTGAACATTCATCATACATAATTCTTCTCGGTACATAAAGGAAGTGATGAAAAGTACTTGATCAGCCAATTTCTTTTACTGGCTATTTTCTGGTTAGGTAGGTTAAAATTGTCAAAGCTCCTTATATATATAAGGAGAGTTTGACTGCTCTTATGAACAAATCTTTCAAATATCTGAAAATTGAGAAACTATGCAAGAGAAAAAAATTTCAAATTGAGTGGATTAATATTTTTAATTTTAACTTTTTGAAGCTTTAGGACAATTTTATTGGAATTTAAAGAAAAATCCTTAAGGCAGGCAAATTGTAAATCCCAGCAGCTGTCCTGAAGAGGAGAATGGAAGAAAGAAAAACATCCATAAAACCATGCTTGTTTAGAGCTGGCATGGAGATCAGACACATGGTGGACGAGCAGCCACATGGGGAGGACAGCTTTAAAGAAAGAGTAGGAAAACCCAAAATTTTGAGGCAGTCCAAGGGTTAGGAAAAAAGATAAAAGAAGAAAAGGAGAGGTCATGCTTTTGAGAAAGCAGGCAGACTTACAGAAAGCTACAAGTCTGTGGCATGCTCCATAAGCACCATGCTAGGTGCAGTGATTCCAGGCAGGAAAAGTTTACCATCTCATTAATATGCTAAGTATTCCACCAGATTGCATGACTTAAGGTGAACCCGCCTTCCTAGGGTTGATCCTGTGATCAAGTGATTGACCTGGCAAAATGGAAAGTTAAGGCTCCACTCAGGCCAGAAATTCTTATTCTCTTGACCAGTTTTCTCTTGAGGTTTTTTGTTGTTGTTTTGTTTTGTTTTGTTTTAACACGTAAGCTTATATTCTAACCTATTAGGATTTTTCTTAGGAGCACATGGATGAAGTTTGTTCTTCTCAACTTCTCACTTCAGTACGACGAATGGTTTTGACTCTTACCCAGCAGAATGATGAAAGCAAAGAGTTTGTAAAGTTCTTTCATAAACAACTAGGAAGTATATTACAGGTAAGAGTTTATTTTTATATGACTTACCACTCACTATATACCACCTAGCTTGGACTCTTGCCATTTACACATATCTGTTGCCATATTACAGAAGTTATTTAGGCATCCATTCTAATACTCATTTGGGATGGCATTTTAGTACTTTTTAGGTTATTTTTTAGTTAAAAAAAAATTTAAGAAGACCTTCTATATTTTCATTTAACTTGATCACCTCTAAGACCTATCCCAACTCCAATAAATTTTTTTTTTTAAGTATGCTCTGATTTGTTTTTACTATTCTGGGAAATTTTAGGAGCCAGAAACCAACCACCAATTACAGAAACTTTTTAGAGCACAACAGTAACTTTTTTGTCTTTTTTTTTTACTGTTATGATGTACATAGTAATAAGTCAGAAAAGTTAGCATTTCCCTCCCCTTATCGCTTATGTTTGGAGCCTTCAAGCTCCTGTCTTGTCTTCTTTTTTTTTTTTGAGACAGGGTCTCCCTGTAGTCCCAGCTCACCTGAACTCACTATGTAGACCAGGCTGGCCTTGAACTCACAAATATCTGCCTGCCTCTGCCTCCCAAGTGATGGGACCAAAGGCGTGCGCTACCACGCCTGGCCAAGCTCCTGTCTTATAGATGTTTATAAAATAGTTTATTGGTTGCTGTGAACTGTAGCCATAACATTGTCCTGCAGAACAGAATAAAATAATCCCTCTGTTTTATACCTACTTCATTCCTTTCCCTCACACACTGCCCAACCTCTAGTAATCACTATCTTATATTCAGATGAATCTTTAAATTATATTGAGGCTATGGTTATCAACTACAGAAGATTTTTACATCTCAGGATACATTTGACAGTGTCTGCATACATTTTGTTATAGCAGATAAGGTGAAAGAGAGAGAGAGGAAAGAGAAGAGGTATTAGGTAAAGGCCAGGATACTGCTTAATTAAGGTACTAGATAGCTTTAGTTGTCAGCTTGACAGACCTGAGTGGAGGGAGCTACAATTGGGAAATTGCCTCCATTGGACTGACCTATGGTCATGTCTGTGGGGTATTTTCTTGGTTTTTGAGTGATGTGGGAGGGCCCAGCCCACTGTGGGGGGTGCCACCCCTGGGCAGGTTGTTAAGAAAGCAGGCTGAGCATGGGCCAGGGGAACAAGCCAAAAACAGCATTCCTCAGTGGCCTGTGCTCCAGCTTCTGCCTCCAGGTTCCTCCCCTGAGTTTCTTCCTTGGGCTCACTGATGAGCTGTGATCTTTGAGCTGTAAACCAAATAAACCCTTTCCTCCTTAAGTTGGTATTGGTCAGAGTGTTTTTGTCACAACAATCAAAGGCAGACTAGAACAATTAAGTTTCTAAAAAACAGTTATACAGCCCTAAATGTTAATAATGCCCAGGTTGAAAAACTGTTTAGTATAGACTCCTTAATTACTTTATATTACAAACATCTTTACCATATATTCATCTGAATATTTTTACATTGGGCTAGTTCAGTGGTGGGCATTGTTACTCAAAAGTAGACAGTACATTTCCATTTTCCAGTGAAGTTTTCCTGTGAAGCTTTGCCTTGCTCTCTTCAGAGGTTAAACTGGTTTTAGTTTCCTAAAACCTTCCTTCCTTCTTTCCTTTGAGGTTGAAGTATTGACTTCTAATTTTTCCTTCTGAAACCTGTTCAAGATTTTTTTTTTGTCCTTTTTCTCTTTTTTGAGACAGGGTCTCGCTGTAGCCCCAGCTGTCCTGGAACTCACTATGTAGACCAGGCTGGCCTTGAACTCACAGGGATCCATGTGCTTCTGCCTCCTGAGTGCTGGGATTAAAGGCATGCACCACCACGCCCGGCAGGAATTTTTTTTTATCATAAATCTCTAGCATTATATCTTTTTGTGATTGAACTAGATAATGTTTTTATTTTTGTTATCTTCTGGGAGAGGTTAATATAATGGGATACTGAATATAATAGTTTTCCTATTTTCTAAATAGCATAGACCATATTTTTTGCAAGAAAGCAAAAGGGAAGTGACTTATACAAATACAACATTTGTTCATTTGATGACGCTGTATTTCAGCTTGAATAGAACTGAAGTTTACTCGTAAACTTACTCTGAAGAAAAATTTAAATTAGACTGGTTAGCTAAAGTAAAGGGAGAAAATAAAAATAATGTCACCATTTCAATGAGGAAGATATTTTTGAGACAGGGTCTCCCTGTAACCCCAGCTGGCCTGGAACTCACTGTGTAGAGCAGACTAGCCTCCAGCTCACAGAAATCCACCTGTCTCGGCCACTGAGTATTGGGATTAAAGATGAGTGCTACCACACCCCACCAGAGGAAGACTTTTTTTTCTCACATAGATTCAATACCTGATTACGGTATTGATTATATAGTCCCTATGTCTACCATCTGGGAACTTTGGGGGAATTAGGAGTCTATATTCATTTGTGCCCAAGAATTATAAGTACTAAATTAAGGGGACTGACAAGATTCCTGCTAGAATATAGTAATATTTCATAGAAATACTTATCCTAATAACTTTGGCCATTGGTTTCAAGTTTTCAATACTTTAAAAATATTAATACTGTTTTTCTCTGGGTAAGTGTTATAGTTTAACCTTTTAATCATTTGTATTGTTATATCCACAATTGAAGTTTGCCAAAATATTAAAATTATTTGGGTTATTAAAATATTTGTTTTTTTGTTGAGTAGGATTCACTGGCAAAATTTGCAGGAAGAAAACTGAAAGACTGTGGAGAAGATCTTCTTGTTGAGATATCTGAAGTGTTGTTTAATGAATTGGCTTTCTTCAAGCTCATGCAAGATTTGGATAATAATAGTATAACTGTTAAACAAAGATGCAAAAGGAAAATTGAAGCATCTGGAGTGATACAATCTTATGCCAAAGAGGTAACTTCAACTTTGCTTTTAGGAAAAGTTACAATTAGCCTATAAATACAGTTCTTGATCTTTATCATTATTAGTAACAAAACTGTTATCTGACCTCAGCAAATGTTACCTTTAGTAAAACCAGTTAGTTAGATTGTAAATCAGTACATGGGCCACATGCTGAATCTTGGAATAAACCACAGAGGCTTAGGGTGAGGAATACAGACAAAATTTGATGCTAAATGTACATGTCAGGTACCCAGTTAACTTCATTATTACTTAACTTAGATCTTGCAAGAGGAGAGAATTGCTGAGATCTGGTTCTTGCTCGATTACCTGTCATGGCTGTTGCCAATCCCCAAAGAGTCTCAGAAAATATGTATCACATGGAATTTACTTCCAACCAGCAAACATGCTTGTTTATGAGCTTGGATTTTAGTTTCTCATCTCTCCTTTCTTCTGCCTTATTCATGTTGATTGCATGTGAAATTGGATGTGTTTGATGAGTTTGTTCTCCTGCAATATGAGGCTATCTAGGAGGCTTTTCCTTATATAGGTACCCCTTTCTTTGCCTGCTGGTCATGAGAAGGGAAAGCAGGCCAAGATACAGACAGAGAGAGGAAAACCCCCTTTAGAATCTAAAATAGAGTCAGACTATTTTCTGTGCATTTAAAAATATTTTTATTTTTTTATTTTACTTATTTATTTTTTTGGTCTTTTTGAGACAGGATCTCCCTGTAGCCCCAGCTGTCCTGGAACATTTTCTTTTCTTTAAGGCAGGGTCTCCCTATAACCCCAACTGACCTGGAACTCACTATATAGATCAGGCTGGCCTTGAACTCACAGAGATCCACCTGCCTCTGCCTCCTAAGTGCTGGGATTAAAGGCATGCTCCACAACGCCTGTGCTGGATAGCTTTAGTGTCAACTTGACACACCTGAGTTGAGGGAGACTCAATCAGGTAATTGCCTCTATTGGACTGGCCTGTGGCCATGTCTGAGTGGCATCTTCTTGATGAGTGATGTGGGAGGGCCCAGCCCACTGTGAGTGGTGCCACCCCTGGGCAAGTGGGCCTGTGTTGCATAAGAAAGCAGGCTGAGCAGGGGCCAAGGGAGCAAGCCAGTAAGCAACATTTCCTCCATGGCCTGTGCTCCAACTCCTGCCCCCAGGTTCCTGCCCTGAGTTCCTACCTTGGGTTCCCTGATGAACTGTGACCTGGGAGATGTAAGACAAATAAACCCTTTCCTCCCCAAGTTGGTATTGGTGAGAGTATTTTCTCACAGCAATGAAAAAACAAACCAGAACAATGCCTGTCCAATATTTTTAATATTTTTATTCTAGACATGAATTCATTCCAGCCATTGCTATTGTAAGAGCTTAAGGAAAATAAAACAGCATAATACCATAATAAATTATTAGAAAGTAGTCTTTCAGTCTGCTTCAAATAGGCAGTCTCATGAGGCTTTTCCAGAGGGTGAAATATGAGCTAAGACATAAAAGAGGAATTCATAATGAAGATGTAAAGGAAGAGCTTCCCATGGAGAGAATACTACATATAATGACACCAAAGGCAGGGTTGAGCAGTTGAACAGAAAGACCAGAAAGGCAGAACATTAAGTAGAGTGGTGAGGTAAACCAAAGAGATGGTTGGGGTTAGATTTGCCCAGCATACAAGTAAGGCCCTGAACCCCAGCCCTGCCAATGAAAGTGGCATATTAAGAATTAGGAAGTTAGGTCACAGATATAATAAAGGCCAAGTTATAGGCTTTAAAAAACTTTATATGAGGTCATTTTTTTTAAGCAGTATGGAAACCCTTGGAAAAGTCTGAGGTAGAAGGATATAATCTCATGTGTAGTTTAAAATAATTTTCTGAATATCATATTCAGTGGGGATTGTAATAGAGTAGAAATAGAAGTAGGGAGACAAGGTGTAAGACAGTTGGAATTGTCCAGATAAGAAATGATGGGGGCTGGAGAGATGGCTCAGTGGTTAAGAGCACTGACTGCTCTTGCATTCGATTCCCAGCACCTACATGGTGGCTACGAACCATCCTTAACTCCTGTTCCAGGGAAATCTGAAGCCATCTTCTGACCTCTGCAGCATTGCACAACATGGGTGCACTCATGTACATGCAGGCAATACACTCATACACATAAAATAAAAATAATAAAGAAAATATTTTTTTAAAAAAAGAAAAAAGTGGAGTCTGGAGAGATGGCTTGGTTAAGAACACTGGCTGCGCTTGTGGAGGACCCTCAGGTTCAGCTCCCAGCACCCACATGACAGCTGACAACTGTCTGTAACTCTAGTTCCAGGGGATCTGACACCCTCTTCTGACTTCCGCAAGCATTGTACACTACAGGTACACTTACCTACATGCAGGCAATACACTGAAACATGTAAAATAAAATACTACATATAATATTTTTAAAAAGAAATGATAAGCTGGGCTGGGGATATGGTTCAGTGGTCAACGGACTTGCTACTTGGAAATCACTGGAACCCATATAAAGCCAGACATGACTGTACATGTCTATAATCCCTGTGCTCCTCTAGCAAGATGGGAGACTCCCTACTAGTTTGCTGGTCAGCTTGTCTAGTGTGTACAGCAGCAAGCAAAAAAAAAAAAAAAAAAAAATAGCCCCTGTCTCAAACAGGGTGGTGGAAACAAGGTGGAAGACAAAGACCAACATCTAAGGTTTCTTCTGACCTCCACATATACATACTTATACTCACCCACATATGCACATGCACCTCAAGCATACACATATCAAAGACATACATAATTTTATTTTTTTTAACTTTTACATACATGCATATAAGGTGTTTTGATCAAATCCATGCCCACTCCCTCCCTTTCAACACCTCCCATGTCTCTCCATCACTTTTTTTCTTTATTTTTATAGGGCTTTTGGGTACTGTAACATTCCCCTCTCTGAAGAGGTAACCCTAAAATCTTTTAAGGATTAGATACAAGCTCCCAAATACTGTTGACATTTTTGGCCTTTGGAACAGAGTATGTTGCCAACAGGACCAAGGACATTTTGACTTTTAGCCAAGAAACTTGCTACTTTTCTTTGGGGTCTTTTTACCCTAACTGCCTAGCCAATTCCTACCTCCTATTTTTATCACACCATCCTCTGAAAAGGCTACCCAACTTGCAGATGGGGAATCAGGATGCAGACTGCTCTGGTTTCTTCCATACTGAACCAGGACGCAGGATGAGGCAATTGGATACCCCTTCAGTGAGTCTGTCTAAAAGACTCCCAAATTGCATAACTCTTATCTATATGTAGAAAAGAAATCCTTGGCTGCTGAATAAGAGATATGAAGGATAAGTAAAGGCAAGAGTAATTAGCATTACAAGTTCTAGACAGGAAGCTAGAAAAAAAAAGTCAGAACTGGGAAAATCTCAAATGTTCATATGAGAGCCCACTGGAATTTCTTGACGAGAGCTTCCAAAAGCATCCCTCTATTGGGTTCCTCCTTATTTTTCTTTTGTCTGCCAAGGCTTTACTTGAGAGTGATGGAGTCAGGATTGTGGAGAGCTGTAGGCCCCCACCCCAGAATATAGCAAGACCTGATTACTGGCAAAGCTGTTTCCCAGACATCAAGGCTGACCTGGTTTGAGATTAACCAGATGACTATACTTGAAAGCCTCACACAAACATGTTATTCTAACTCGGGCACTTACCGCTTGAGAGACTCCCTCATTTCTCATGGAACTGCTTAGAAAACATCTTTGTATTACCTTGTCTGGGAAGTATAATCCCTTGAACTCTTAAAGAAGTATAATAATGACTTTACTCTTTGGTTATACTTTCCTTTTCGGTGTTTAAGACCATACAACTGGCCCAGATAAATCAATTTATTTTTACACTTACGGTCATTTGAGGATCTGTTCCTCAGGGTTCACATGGGTTGGGAGGAGCTCCTGGCTCCTTTCTTTTACCAGTTCATCTATTTGAAGGTAAGTCAAAGGTCCTGTTCAACCATATATGGCTTCACGTGGAAGCATGAATGAGATGTTTCCTTTGAGTTGACCCTCCTGTTTGTAGAGTGGACACTGGTTCAAGGCCATCTCATGGGGTCTCCATGTCCTCCCTGAACAAGAGGACAGGTGACTCACCGCATTGATAGGACATTTTGAGAGATGTTCCATAGTCCCCTGGAACCTGGTCAACCTTGGAGGGCAATGGGTAAAAACTGTCCTTTAAGTCCCTCTGACTATATTAGTATAGGCCTCAAACTTATGGCTGTTAAACATCCAATAAGGTTATTTCCACCAGTCTGATACTTTTAATTATCATGTGCTATGTAGATCAGGCTTAGGTAGAGAACCAAATAGTCTTAGATAAATATTGACTAGATTTATATTTTGTTCCTTAAACTAGTTGACTAAACTATGACCATATGAAATTTTTATTATTTTTGTCTCATCCTTTATAGATAACAAACCTAAACAGACCTTCATCACTTTCTTAGGCTTTCTCATTTTTTCTGTATATTTTGGAAAGTATCTCCATTCCTATATCCTTTTAACATCTTTTACATTCTCATTTTCTTTCTTTCTTTCTTTCTTTTTTAAATAATGAGACAATAGCATTAACAAATAAAGTTTCCATCGGTTGTGAAACTTATTTTCCTGGGGATGCTAAGCAATGCTTATTCCCTTTTAAGGTTCTAATGTCAAGCCAATGTTTCATTAAAGTTTCACTGGGGAACCAGTGAATTTATTGAGCTTACTTACCAAGATAACTGAGGGGTTGCTGAGGTGTAGTATGACCTGAGGATATATGCACACTGTACCCAGCATGGGTCATGCCTTCTCTTCCTAGCCTTCCCCAGATTGTATGCTTTACCCCTCCCCAAATCCAGGAAGCCATGTGTGATTAGGGTCAAATTACATACAGTTAGCTGGGAAGAGTGGATGGATACTTCAGTAAGGGTCCAGTGACACTGCTGAGTCCTCTTTTAATGAACGAGCACAACCTTCAGCAAGTCCAATTGTGATGATGTTTAGTGATCAGGCTCAGCTGAAGTTGTTATGATGGTAGTTATTTCATGCAGAAGGGACTGCTATATAGTATCATTCTTATTAAAAGGACTTTACCATGTAGAGGCAACATAAATACTTCTTAAAGCAAGGCATTAAGAAAAGATAATGAGTGGTGTGATCAAAATATATCATACATACGCCGGGCGTGGTGGCGCACACCTTTAATCCCAGCACTCGGGAGGCAGAGGCAGGAGGATCTCTGTGAGTTCAAGGCGAGCCTGGTCTACATAGTGAGTTCCAGGACAGCTGGGGCTACAGGGAGACCCTGTCTCAAAAAGACCAAAATACATCTCATACATATATACATGTGAAATGGAGAAAGTTTTTAAAGAAATAATAAGCTAATAGCAACAAAGGCTGGTTTCTGATTTAGTGGTTTTTGCATTAGGGTCAGTGAATGCCATTTAATGAGATTAGAAAAACTGGGATTATATAAGTGTTTTTCTGAATTCTACTTAATTGATTTACTATTAGGCCAAAAGGATTCTTGAAGGAGATCATGGCTCACCTGCTGGAGAGATTGATGATGAAGATAAAGTATGTGTTAATTTGTTTCTATAAATAATGCTTTTAGAACAAAATATACATAACAGCTTTTACTTCCATATTTGTGAATAAAGTATATAATTAAATGTCCTTTCTTCTGACAAACTGTGTTTCTTTTAAAAACAAAACTGTCAATACTATGTATTTTTATTGCACGGTACCCATTGTTTTGAAAACTCTTAAAGTACTTTAAGGAGTTAATTGCTTACATTATTTGTTTATAGGACAAAGATGAGACTGAAACAGTTAAGCAGACTCAAACTTCTGAGACATATGCTGCCAAAGAGCCCCAAAATATAAAATCTGATGTTTCTGATCAAGAGGAAGATGAAGAAAGTGAAAGATGTCCAGTGTCCATTAGTAAGTCTAAAGGTTTTGAGCCTTATTTATAGTATCTATAGATCACTTACAGTTTGTAGAAATGCACAGAGTATAGAATTGTATGAAACTTTGAATTTGAATCCCAGTTTAATTTTGACTAAATGATGTGATATAAGCCTGATTAAAGTCTGTCCCATAGTTTCTAGTATTCACTGATTTGAACATTTTAGATACAGTATGTAAAGTACCTGTGCATTCAAGAATGTCAACAATAACCTTTATTAAGATTGAGTGGAGCTGGATGTGGTAGTACACACCTTTGATCCCAGCACTCAGGAGGCAGAGGCAGGAGGATCTCTGTGAGTTCAAGGCCAGCCTGGTCTGCATAGTCCTAGACCAGCTGGGGCTGCAGGGAGACCCTGTCTCAAAAAGACCAAAAGAAAAAAATAAATAAATAAATAAAAAATTAAGTGAGTGGGTGTGGTGCACAGCACCAGGATACTAAGGTGGTGATTTAAATCTTAGAGTTAGTACCAGCAATATATCAAGATTCTCCTCTACACCAAGAGTATTAATTTATGAAGCTGACTACAAATTGTATATAATCAACTTAGATCTGTCTAAAGCTGAAAGTCAGGCTTTAACTAATTATGGAAGCGGAGAAGATGAGAATGAGGATGAAGAAATGGAAGAATTTGAAGAAAGCCCTGTTGATGTCCAGACTTCACTTCAGGCTAACACTGAAACTACAGAAGAAAATGAACATGATGATCAGGTATTCTATTATAAACCAATATACCTTCCACCAGTCCTGAAAGCAAGAGCCTTCTGAAAGTTGTCAAAATTTATAGCTTTTTCCATTCTCATTTACTTGAATACAAGCCTCTTTAATATATTTATTAAAATCTGAAACATTTCCAGGATGGTAGTGTACACCTTAAATCCCAGCTCTAAGGAGGCGGAGGAAGGTGGGCTCTCTTTTGAGTTCGAGGCCAGCCTGGTCTATATGGTGAGATCCTATTTCAGAAAACAAACAAAAAATATGAAACACTAGTTTTATTTTAAGAGTCTTTAAAGCATTTTAATCTCAGGGCTGAAGAGAAGGCTCTTGCAGAGGACCTGGGTTCGGGACCTAACATCCACATGGTCGCTAACAACTGTCCATAACTCCAGTTCCAGTGAATCTATGAGCGTTGCACCACATAGGTGCACTTACATGCATGCAGGCAATATACATGTAAATTAAAAATAAATTTTTTAAAAAAGCACTTTAATCTCTATATTTTTAAGACGTTGTAAAACTGTAGGATACTATGCCTGAGTCAACACAGTGTACAATTTCCTCTGCTTTTCCATGTTTCTTAAGAGAGAGAGAGTCTTTCGGTTAAGTCTATGTTTAACCTAGTATTTAGAGTTAGCTGAATTAACAATTGATGAACCAAGTAAATGTTTATTACTTACCCTTGAATTATGTCTTTCTCCTGATTTAGTAATTTTCTCAATTTTTATTAATCTTATTT